CCGCCCGATAAGGCGTATCGTTCTTTGTGCGGCCGTCCCATAAGAAAGTATGCAAAAATCGGCCCCGGCGTGAACGAGTTAAAATAAATAAATAAAATATTATTTTGTACTTACCTAAATCATATTTTCACAAAAAAACACACTTCAATTTAAATTCTATTTAGATTTAGGGTTATTATGATAAAGAAACTTGTTCACCCAAGTAATAGACAGCACAGACTGTTGATATAACACTAGACAATATAAGCTGTCAGTGTCATGTCAGCCGTCATGCGACCGCCACACCAATTTGACGTTTGAGTCCGTTGGGTGGAGGCAAACTTCACTATTTTTGATTAATTTGATTGTATGTGTCAATATTCTTTATTCTCAATAATTATAAGATACGAACAAGGTAAATATTCTCGTTGTATTAGTAAATGAATTTGCATGATCAGGATAATAATAAATTAAATTGGTTTCAATGTTAGATGTCTACCTGGAATCCAGATGATGTTGATTCTGATGAAGAAACATTGGATACTATAGGGCATACTTGGGGCCTCAGAGATGGTGTGATTTATCTAATTGAGATCTCTGAAAAGATGCTTGAGGAATCAGAGGGTGAAAGTTCACATTTTCGTACATGTATAGATTGTTGTCTCACAACTATGATGAATAGAATTATTAGCTCTCCAAGAGACCAAGTAAGCTGAGATTATATGATTGATATTGTTCTTTATATTAAAAATTATATGGTAAATTTTCCATATGGCAAAATTAGAATAAAATTTATCGTATTAAGATAAATAAGATTGAGTTTATTCGAGTTATTGTTCACAAACAGAAACTGCTATTGCAAGACTTATGCATTATATTGACAGGTTGCTATAGTTTTATATGGAACACGGAAAAGTCCAATGCCAATAGGATCTCATAATTTCAACCCTGCTTCTATTCCCGTAAATACGTCAGTTTACATGGTTCTGCAAGAACCCAGTGCAGAAAATATAAAATGGCTTCAAGGAGTTAAAGAAAGTCCTGATTTGAAGAACTTTCAAGAAGAATATGGAGTTTCTAGGGGTATGTCATTTTAATTCATCAAGTAAATATAATTGCATTGAACATTTTCTGATTAAGTTTATATTAGAATTATATGTCATTCTTAATGTGCCAATAATGCAATACCAATTTGTCATACAACATGAGTATGATATTGAATAGTTATGATAAGTTCCTGATCTGAGACAATAATCTAAATAATTGTTGAAATTTGTCAATTACATAAAAACTGGAATGTAACCCCTCATCTAAGTAATATGTCCACTCCATATGAAATACATCAATTATTTTATTATGCATTTTAGATTTTGCAATTGGGGATGCTTTAGAAGCATGCACTTACTTGTTTCGAACTAGTGAAGTCAAACTCGAAACATCTACAATTATTTTATTTACAGTTAATGACAATCCACATCCTAATAATGAGCATAAGAAACAACAGGTACAAATATAAAGTATGAACTACTTTTACATAATTCTGCAATCATTTTTTTCTTATCTTTAATAGGCAATTCGTAGAGCCCTTGATTTATCAACTTTGAGAATAGATCTTGATGTCATACCTTTGTCAAATGAATTCAATTGTGATCATTTTTACAAAGAACTGATATGCACTGCCATGCAGCTAGATCCACTTTGCTTTAGAATGCCAGAACCTCAAACAACATTAGAACGCTTACTCACAAGGGTTATAAAAAGAGATCATCGACATAAGTGTATTGTGAGAGTAAAATGGTTTTTGGGAGAAGATCTTGCGCTAACTGTTGGTGTTTATAATATATGCAGGTAAACACATGAACAGTAAATATACAAATTTATTAATCAATCTTTGTTAATGTTTTCAAAAAAAAAAAAAGTCTATTAAAATTAGCAAATTTTGTCAATTATTGTGTTATGGTTTTTATATTTAGACCTACTCAGCAGCCAAGGAAGATACATCTAGAAAGAGATACTAATGAGGTAGTAACTGCTGTACAACGTTACCATCATGTCACATTCAATGAGTTTAATGAAAAAGTAATTGGAGAACCAGTGCCTGCAAACAATCTTAGACTGTCACAGTCTTTTGGAGGTGCTGACATTTTATTTCTTCCTGAGGAAGTTAAAGCAATAAAAAGAATAACTGACCCTGGTTTAAAATTACTTGGTATGAATAGACAAGATGAAACTGAATTATGCATTATACTAAATAACAATTATGGGGCCAATTTTTCGGTAAAATAGACTGTATACAGCGTTACATATATTTTGACCACAATATACTAGAGATATAAAATACATCATAGTAGCTGATAATATATTTTCATATGCACTCGATTTGCAGGTTTCAAACCCATTTCTACTCTTCCTCTAGAATATTTTTTGAAGTCATCATCATTTATATACCCAATTGATGATATTTTAGAAGGTTCAGGAAAATTATTTACAGCTTTATTAGATAGATGTGCTGCAAGAAAAGTAATGGCTATTTGCACATTTACTCCGAAACGTAATATGAGTGTTTGGTAAAATATATTAAATATTTTAATATCAAAAATTGTTCAAAATCAATCTCAAGAAGCGTGAGTTGATAGAATTTTTTTTCTTCTAGTTTTGTTGCTTTAATTCCGCAATTAGAAGAAGTTGGCCAATACGAATTGCAGTTAAAACCACCAGGTTTTCACCTGGTGTACTTACCTTCTGCAGGTATGATAGTAATTATTAAATTTATATTAATATGTGAGATAATTTTTTTTTGTCAGAAAATTTCAGAAGCCTCAACTTAGATGGTGAAGGTAGACCAGTGCATGTATCTGACTATGAGAAGGATATCATGAGCAAAATCATCAATAAATTAAAATTCAAATATGATCCTTTAAATATTGAAAATCCAAAACTACAAGTTAGTGATTGAATAATTATGTTGAAGGAAATATTTAATTGGAAATATTTTGAAAAATCTTATATTTTACCAGACCTTGTATTCACACATTGAAGCTCTTGCCTTAGATCTTGAACAACCGAGAAATATTGAAGATAGTACTCTGCCAGACTTGGAAATTCAAAAACGTTTGCTTGACAATTTATCTGAAGATTTCAAGCAAACATTTGGAGATGTAAGTAAAAGTAATTTTAATGAACATGAGGTTAATATCTGCACCAGTTCATGATGTCGATGTTAATTGATTATTAAATAAGTATCTGAAATTGTCACAGTCGCAATTAATCTCATAATAAAATTGTAATTATTGAATTTATTTTATTTTAAGGATGAACCACCTAGGAATAGCAGAAAACGACCTTATACTAATGCAGATTCTTCCAGCTCAACTAGCAAATCATCTATCGACGGAAATGACATTTCTCAGTTGCAACAGGCTATTTCAGATGGGCAGGTATAATATATCTGTAATTTCACTGACAAAATAATTTAAAGTATAGTAGGGTTTAAAGTTTCAAGTGTTGTATAGTTAAATATCAAAGCAACATTAATGTGATGAATTTATAGTACAATTTATTATTATATTAATAGGCTAACAAGTTAACTATCTCCCAGTTGAAGGAATTTCTTAAGCATAAAGGTGTTCGCGGCATTACTGGCAAAAATAAATCAGCTTTGATAGAAATGGCTAATGAACATAGATGAACTAATTGTGATATGTATATAAAATATATTAATGCTAATAAATTTAAATATCATATCCAAGTTATTTATTACGAAGGGTTAAAATATTGTTGAAAGGTCAAATTATCAGAGAAGGTTTTTAGATGATAATAATATTGAAATTTAGGCATTTTGGAATATAAATGAAATCGATCAACATAAAATAGTTAGATCAATACATTATAACATTGTATACTGTTACTTACAACTAGTGATGTGCAAAGTCGAATCAAGTGATTCAAATCATTCGAATCAAGCCTTTAACGACCTGTTTCGAATCAACTCGTATCAAGCCACGAAATATTTACTGTGATAAAAAATGTATGAACTTTGAAATTTTTCATAAATATAAAAAAATGTTTTAATTTAGTTCAATATTATAATAATATATAAAAAAAATAATAATAAATAACATAAACATAAAAAATAAATCATGCGAGCCATCCGACTTTAATACGCTTGAATGTATCACCCGATTCCAATCCATTTTTTATGACTTAAAGCGATTAAAGTCATAAAAAATGGATCGACTAACTATATCATCCGACTCCAATCGACTTCATATTACTCAAACCGAATCATTCGACTCCAAGCGGCTCGAGCGATATGACTTCAACCACTCAAGATTATGAAACGAGTTTCGGGAATCTTTCAATATAATTCTCTTTTGAAACAATTACTTTTGAAACACCAGAAAGTCAGTTAATCATATTTAACTTCTGATTATGTAAGTATTGACAAATTCACATTAATGAAATTAACTTTTAGCTTTCACTTTAGATGCGATCCTTTACTGATTATATAGTAAAATAAACAATCGACCTATGATTCCAAATATAATTTTATATGCTTTAGTGATGCAGAATTGTTTGTTAATCTATTATTGTAAATTAATTTGAAAATATGTCGCCCTCAAAATTAAATCATTTTTAATAATTTTCAGAATATACTTTTTGATAGTAATTTATGTTTACAATTTCTACCTTGTCAATTATATTGGTTAAACTTTGGTATATTTAACATAACAATTTTGATTATAAATTTTGATCACATTTACTAAATAAACACATCGATGATTTTGTCCTTATATATACTTGATTTGAGTTGATTCGAATCAGGTTTTTTTTTCTGATTCGAATCATTCGAATCAGGAATTTTTATTAATTTTCAGAATATACTTTTTGATTGCAATTTATGTTCACAATTTCTGTTTTGTCGATTATATTGGTTAAACTTTGGTATATTTACCATAACAATTTTGATTATAAATTTTGATCACATTTACTAAATAAATACTTCGATGATTTTGTTCATATATAGACTTGATTTGAGTTGATTCGAATCATCACTATTTAAAACACTCGTTACTTTCCAATATGTTTTATTAATATTTAACAGTATAGCAAATATCATAATAAATAGGTATATGTTTATTGTAATGTAACAAACTAACTGTGCGATAATAAGTAAACAGTATAATGACCAAAAATGATGTATAAAGAAGTGAGAAGACAAAAAAATTATTATTAAATAATAAATATAATATTAAAAAATAGTATCGATGTAAATAACAGTAAAAAGTTATTTATTTAACGAATAAAACTTGGATATACAAATATAAATAGTTAATAAAATAAGTAAAAACTATTCACAGGCGTTAAGTTAAATAATTAAATTTTGCGCTATTTTTTCATTTAGTTCGTTGCCAACTTCTGTTTTTTTTTTGGTAAAGGATCAGTTCTTTTCTCTCCATCGAGTTGTCTACTTATCATCGCCGGTAAGATCTTAGCACGTTATTATTCCATTTTGATCGTGATCTTTGGAAATAGATCTATATTACACCCGAAAAATTTCGTTATCGGTTTTGTGTTTCAAATTTTATTATGATCAATATAGTCGATTATCAAAGTGAAAAGTGATTTGTTTTAAACACGTGCTTTGCATAATGTCATACGACATGCCATCGTTATATGTCGGAAATATTTACCTGAAACTGTTGATATTGCATTGTTAAATAAAATTATCTTTTAGAACATATCAATGGAATTTTTGTATATTATGTCGTCATATAGCATAAATATTAATTAAAAAATATTTTTTGACGTTTTTTGCCAGAGTTTTCTCATTTTAGAGATAAGGATCCCAGAATGTTTATAAAATAAAGTTTAGTTACTGATGTGTTTAATTAGTGTAAAAGATCAAACTATCTAAACAATATATGGTGATTGTTCGCTGTTTCCCTTTTACTTCGAAAGTTGACTGTTAATCAAGATATAAATTGTTGGCGTGTTGGTGAGTGATAATTTTAAGGTATGATACCATTACATTGATTATATTTTAGAAATTAGCAATTATTCAGCAGATACAACTCACCTAGTTGCCGCTATGCTTTAAATTTTTATACAAAATATTAACCCTTACGGGACGGCACCGATTTCAAAACAATCTACTGTACCGGCTGTAAACTTGATTTCATTGTGTATTAATTTTATAATATAATTTTATTTTTGATCATTTTGTGGGTTAGTAATGAATCAGGTTATTTTTCTTAAATCCTCGAAAAATAAAACTTTTTCTTTGTCTTCATTTCAATCGTCGTAGGTTACCAATATGGGTTAGTAATGAATATGATAGTATAAACTCCACTTGAATATAAATATATAAAATTTATTGACTATAAAAATTAATGATATAAAAAATATGACAAGTCCATTTGTTTTTTTCCAAACACTAGCCTGCTTGATCCCCACAATTTTTTAGAGAATGGTTCGAAGTGAACCGTGCCCTATTGCCGAGTATAGTATATTATCCTAATATTATATTTATATACACAGATTTTACACAGGATAAATAAAATGTATATTTGTTTATTAATTATTCCTTTTGGTTTATTAACATTGTGTTCCTCTGACATCGACATTCGTATTCAGGTGGACGCATATATGAGTTCCTCGGCTCTAACGACTGCCTTCGTCGAATGCATATATGAGTTCTTCGACCAGGATTTGCGTAAGACGCATATATGCGGCGCTCGTCCTCAAAGTGTTAACTCTTTGTGTGAGGCTATTTCAGGCTATTTCGTAAACAATGACTCAGTTTGCATCGAAACTTTAATAGATTACATATAGCAGTGATAAACAGTATTGAGATTTTCGAAAATCTCAAACATTTCCATCGACATCGTTCTCAGACAATATACTGACTAATCATGATTAATCAAATAAATAAAGTGATAACTTTTTGAATATTAGTGCAAGTTTTCATTTTTGCAATGAACCCTAGCATTGTATCCCCATAAATATATAAATATATCAAACTAAATATTTCTTATTTACTTCTTATTTGTTTATTTTATTTACTCGATAATACATTTTTATTTCGACCAAAATCGAACATACAAATTGATTATAGAACAAAATATTATTTTTATGCGCTAAATATCTAACAAAGTATATATTAATATAAAATTTTCAATATAATGCCTATTTTCAATATGATCCTCTATTTTTTTAAAATAGATTTTAAAGATTGATAACACAATTGATATTGAAATAATCAAATATTGAATAATAACTGCCCGTAATCTAATTTATTACGTTTTCAATGAAATATAATTTATAGGAAATAGTGATGTTTGTTGCAATTAACCAAATCTTATATACAAATTTCTGTCAATGTTCAATGTTCAATAGAAACAGCTGCTTACATAATTACATAATTCTGCCTTTGTAAAAGTCAATTGCGTTTTCAATAATATATTCTCCAAACATATGAACATCAAAAGAATAAAAAATAATTCAATAACTTTTTGTTAAATGTATTTTAAATACATTTGCAATATTTTACATTAAATTTCTTATTACTCTACATCAATTCGTCATTTTATATGATAATCGGGTCCCAATTTGGTGCAGTTTTATTATAAAGTATTTTTCATTTATGTTTGATGATTGTCTCTACTTCTACATGATATAAATAATTGCGTATGAAACTAATATATATTACAGTGGATATATTTCCAAGTTAAATGGGTAGTAGTGAATAAAATATTAAATTAAGTTTCTAACTAACAAATGCAATATGACATTTTTTATAATTTCAATTACAATTAGGAATAATTGACCTTAATAATTACATTAAAGAAAATTCAATTATCGTAAATACGTCTTAAAAGAATACTTCTATATTATTCAAGATATGAAAATTGTTTATAGATAAGTTCTAAGTTATACGACTATTGGACGAATTTATGACATTACAAGTTGCATAAAACTATGCGATATATATCATTGAATAGAAATAGTTTCCTTTTTCTGAAAATTTATTTATAATATTTAAAAGTCGAGTTTTTACGTAAATAATAATATTTGACTTTTTGACATGTGAAAATTTTTAATACAAAATGGTTTAAATGCATTTAATCGTTCATCGTCGAGATTTGAAAAATTATATACAGTTATGACTTTATCATGGCCATGTAACAATAATTTTGAGAAAAACCTTCATATGAAATTATTATTATTGAACAAGGTATTCTGGTCTAAACTTTGTTTTTTTTTTGGAAATTTTTAAAGTTTAATCAGAAAATATGTGTTTAGTACACAGGATTTTTCAAAATTTAAATGATTTTTAGAGATTGCTCTTCCGTTTTTCTCGAAACTGTATTTTTCGATACGATACCCATAATTTCTTGACTACTACTGGACTGACTCACTTGAAACTATTACAGAGTTTTATTTATAAACTTTTATTCAGTATAATCTACGCTCATCCCCAAATTTAAATATTAACTAGTTTTAAAAAATAAATAATATAAAAAAAAGTTGTGAAAACGTGTGTTTTAAACAGTCGATATTTTGTAAAAAAAAATTAGCTAGATTTATAGCTTTTTTTTTCAATTATTTGAAAGGCTATAATTATAAATGTGGTCATATGCAAAGTTTTTGTTACCTGCCCTCATCCACATTTTCCAAACTTAAACTTTTTGACTATTTTTGATTTTTATTTTGTATACTTATTAAAACATTACTTAACTTGTAAAAAAAAGTTAGTTAAAGTATTATTTGCTTTTTTACGGCCTTTCCAAAAATGCATAAAATTCATGCCTTATTCAGACCAGAAAACCCCTTTAAGTTTGAAATCTTTTCGATGTTTCTCTACCGTATTTTTTTTATAATAATTAACAGCAAAAATAGTACAGGTTGTCTAGCATTTGATGCCGTGCTAAAAATATTATAAGATATTACCATAGTTTCAAACTTTGAAGATACTTTGAAGTAAATAATAGAAACTATGGAAATGTAAATGAAGGTAAATGCGAGATTTTATTCATAACAAAAATTCATTTTTGCTTTCTTTGTGATTAAGAAAAATGCATTTGACAATGCAGAAGATAGAAGTATGATAGATTTAGGAGTCATTTCTCCGATAAAATTCAAATGTTATGGCAACGTTATGTTACGGTCCTATCTTCGTATGAATTGGTAGTAAAAACTATCAAAAAGCAATGTACTTGCAATGCGGTCTGGCGTTTCACACATAAAACCGAACCTACAAAACGAACCTACAAAACGCACAAATGTAAAATGACAATTTTGTCACAAGTTCATCTTTCTAATATGTCTTTGGTTACATACACAAATACAAAGCTTTTTATTAGTTTTTAGTACCATTTTATATGAAGAAAGCTACGTAACATAGCCTTGCCATTATATTTCCATTTTATAGGAGAATTGGCCCCACTATCATTTTGATTTGTTTATCTGATGTGGGCGTACTATATATAGTAGAAGGGCTCATCAAAATTATTTGACGGTATAACCTAAATGAATATTTATAACCAAATTGGTAATTATTTCACTTTCATCAGAGCAATGTATAAAAATGTAAGCATATAACCTGTCGTTAATTAATTTTGCGGTCTCGTGCATCATCATCTTCGTGAATATTTGATGTCGCATTGAGGTGTTTATAGCAACCTGAATCGTCGTCTTACACACATACAATATTCTGTGTCGCTCTGTCGCGCTGCTTATAAATGGCTTTCTCAATGAATTAAATTATTTACTACATATTGATTTTATTCATCTAACAGCACCGACATTACCTTGTATTATATATACGAGTATATATTAGTACAATATAGTACAGAAAAAGTAGAGCAGCAAATGAAAACAAGCATTGGCTATTTTTGTTGTGCAAGTAGATGCCACAATGTGATCTTATAAGGACATTGAATGAAGATTTGTTCTATTTTACAGGCCAGAACTATTTATGTCACCAATCGAAGAGGAAAATCTATTAACATTTTCCAAAATTGCGATACGTTTGCAAGATTTAGTCACATATTTCGTATTTCTATTCAATCTACATATTTTTTTAATTTATTCTTTATGTCAATTACAATATCTTGAAAAATAACATTTTCGAATAGTTTCCGATAGATTTCATATACATCAATATTTAATTCCTGCTTTTGTATTTGTATCACTATTTTCGTGTATGAATATTATAAGTATAGATAACGTTCCATATTTATATATTGAACAACCCTTTTGCTACCAAAGTGTTTTTCGCTGCTGTACGGAACAGCAAACGACAACGATAAAAAATTTCTATCATTATCAATAAAAATATGTTGAAAAATTAAAATTACGCTTCTGGCAACAGAAAAATATAATACAAATCTTCTTATTTTCAATATTTCAATTGATAGTTATATTTCTTGCAGCACAGGCCAACACAGCATGTCGTCAGTAGTGTAGATATCGTTCATAGACGACACTCGTAGCAAAAAGGTTAATAAAATTCAATCATTCTTATATATTGCAACTGTTCTTATGATATAAATATAGAAGTCGATTACTTTTTTATACTCCTAACTAAAATTTAAATACATTAGACGAAAGTCAAGTAGTTAGTTATAAATAATTGTTATATAAAGAATAATATATTCATTTTACGTTGATATATCGAAATATTTCAAATAGCACCATAGAAAACGAACTCTTCCAGTAGATCAAATAGGCTCGAGCATGCAATTTTCATTTAATGCATCGCAAACAAATCACTTCATATATTTCGATATACTAAAACGTTAAGTTTACGGGCCAGTTTGTATTACCTAAGTTAATTTGGTGATATTTATTTATAATTAAAACTCTGTCATATGAAAGTGACATCAGTTATATGCCCAATAATGTCTTGATATTCAGTTTGATGCATTTGAAAAAACATTTTCAAGCATCCACACTAATATTGACTGACGTAAAATAGTTTATAACATTTTGGTTTAATATTGTTCGACATTTAAATATTGACAAATAATATCCATTAAAAATATTCGTCGTCTGATTGAGTACAACAGTTAAATCATATATCTAATGACTACGTGTTTGCATACTCGTTATGAAACTACTTAAAGAAATATTAGATTTCTACCAACTAAAATTATTTTACAGTTCATAAAATCTATACACTTACATTATAAACATTAAGATTTATATTATACAAATAGATTTTTTGTTTTTATATTAGATAAATATCACTTTAAAATATAATTTCACTAGCCTAAATAAATAATGATTTAAATTAACTTAGCTCTCAAGTATTTTTACATTTTGACGTTTCTAACGTTATTTCTTATATTTATGATATATTAATATAATATAGAATAAAATTAAATAAATAATGAAAGAACATGAATATTTTCATTAAAGTTTAAATTTGCGTTTGGCAACAGATCTTTAATTATATCACGAACAATGTGCTACACTTGACACTTCAGTTTATGGATTCGCTATTTTGTTATTATCAATTGAACTTGGATTCTGTTCATATCTGATATGTGTTATTTCACTTAGAATTTCGTAAAAATGTTTATTTAAAACTTATCACTTTGTCGATATAAGAAGATTGTTCAGTATTGTCGCAGAAATGAAACAAAATTTTAATTAAATAGAATAACCGGTAGTTTCCGAACAATTGACTAATTTTCTTTAAAATGTTCATACTCACAAACTATCCATTTAGGCAATTGTAAATATAATAAAATATTAAAGCTTTAATTCATTGGTCCATCTTCGTAATAGAAGTTAAAAATATGAGTAGATTGGTCAAATTTTATAGTTTTTCATATATTATACCTTGTATATTTTTTAAATTTTGAATGTTCGGAATGAATTTTATCTTTGTGTGGTGATACTATTCATTTCGAATAAAAGGCCGGTTTGAATAATTGTCATATCGAACGAGATGAAAACTTATAGTTTTTTCAAAATAATGGTGGGCGAATAGGCAAATTTGGTTAACCAGTGTGATCTTGTCTGACCAAGACGAATAGCATCTTCCAAAATTATTTCATTTTGCATTAGAACAAATAATTGATGTTATAATTCAGAGATTTAATTTAGTTGTAGCTTTAACAAATAAGGAATCTCAGGTGAACAAAATCTTCAACAGTTCATAAATATTGCCAGTATTTATGGTTCTGTAGATTTTGGTCAACTTTTCATTTAGAAAAGTCTAGTTATTTATGTTCTAATGGTCTTTGCATTGCCGCTTGTTGGTATTAGTTCGATATGTAATTCTCATTAATAACATTCTTATTCCTGTAAACAACTTGGTCGTCAGTGAGATATGATCCCAAAGGAAAAAGTATTATAATTGCATTGTATATTGTTATGCTTCGCATCAGTTCCTAGTTGTGCTATATTGGTCATCCATTCTATTGTTGATCGATGATGGTAATAACCAAAGGATCATCTTCCTTATCTTCACTAGGCCGTTCTTCAGGTGGCGATGGTCCTGAAACGCTTAAAGTAGGAAGAAGCGTTTGTATGTTGTCCGCCGATCGCGCCTTTCGGCACAACCGCGATTGTGATCCGTGTCTTCTCATGAATTCGATGGTCTCAAAACCTGGTCCCTCAGATGATATAAATATCGCTGAATTGATTCGTGATCGTGGACGGTTTAGACTGGAAACTCCATCGTCCAACTCACTTGGGCAACAGTGGGCGTGCTGCAATTTGATATTGCGGAAAAATTATTATTTTGAAATATAGATTCACTTACTTAATGTATATTGAGAAGTAACAAGTCACAAAAGCAAGCAAATATTAATCGATAAATAGAACATTTAAAATATGGATACATGCTGAAGACATAACAATGGACACCAATGCCATAAAGGTTAAGGTTTAATGACCTTATGTTTTTGCAATATTGGGAACAGCTTTGTACTTTCAAAACAAATATATCGGAAGTGAAAATTTAATCAGATGATCAGAAATGTTATAAACAAGAACAAAGTTATGATTACACAAAAAATTAAATTGCATGTAATAAAACCTATTGGTCAAAATCTCGTGTCTGCACTTCTTGTCATCATGTAGAAGTGTACTTAGACATTTTGTTAATTGTTTGTAAAACTTCACAAATTTGTCACAGAAAGCTTTGTTTAAATTTTTCTCAAAAGCTACAAAAACAAGATGTGAATTGAAAATGAACAAGCACTATTAGACTATTAGACAAATTCTTGACACAATACTCTAAATAAATTTAAAAAAATCATTAGTGCTCAAAATAATATAACATAAGAAAAAACGATTACAAAATATTTATTTCCCAATTTATTTATTCTCAAAAATATTTTGAAAATAAATCTCCATATTTTGAAGTTCTCTTTTTGAAATTCTTAGAGTAAAATTAGTTTCCTATAAAATTATCAGTGTCTGTAAAACTTCAGAAAATTCTTGCGTTTGTTAGTAAAGTTTATTGTTGCAAATTGCTTATTTACAACATATATATCAACACAATTAAAAATTCAGGTTCATAAAAAATTTTAAGATTCAAAAGAAGCCTATCGGGCAGAATAGGACAGAATGAAAATGGATGTTTTTTTTCAAATGCCAGTAATACCAAATGCAATGTTTTAATTTTGCTTCATATTTTTTCATCAATCACAGCTTGAGTTATCTAATTATGGATAGAGTATGTAGCTAATTCTCTTGATTTATAATTCCAAGTTGCCAAAACGTTTCGACATATATATTGCATACAATATGTACATAAGAGTCACAAATATTCTTCATATTAATAACAGTTGCCTTGACTGTTGCATTATAAATAATCTACGTGAATCCCAAAGTGAATGATGTTGAAAAACTACCATTTCATGTGAAAGACATACTACCATAAGTAAAAGCGTGTATGATATACAAAAGTGCCAATCATATTATATTAAAGCAGGACGAGTCACAGTATATGTAGTCGTAATTTTATATAAACTTACATCGACTTTAGATTTTTGAATTGCATCAATAATTTAGATGCTTGCTTTCCCATTGTAAGTTCGATGGCCTTGCAGAATTAGTTCAGCGTTCATATTGTGATTGTAGCGTGTTTTTAAATATTTAGTTTCAATTGTGCGACTTATAATACCCAACATTCGAAACAGTTCGACAAATATACCATCAAATTCGTTGTTGAAGTAAATTAAAACAAAGAAATAGAGCGTTATAGTTTTAATTGAGTAGCGAATTAATATCAAAGTTTTGCTTCAGGGCGCACACCAATCCTAGAATTGGATGTATTTTTATACACTAAAAAGTATGTATCGATCCATCAAGCTCGTCAATAAAATACATAAACGTCATAACAATTACCTTTTAATGCTTTTGCTGGTATCAATAAACTAGCAACAGATATATAGTCTTATATGATTTTACTATGAGATAGAAAAGCTAAGCGCACGTTTTGCGAAAACATGCGCTATGCATTTATTCGTATTTTATGTATTCTTTGCTGCTTTTATGCATTTAAGGGCGATCTATAGTCATTTTTCAGAAAAGTGCATTTCGAAGTCTTTTCCATTAGTTCCTCGCACCTATTTGCATTGTATGTATGAACATAGAATGTATTGGATTTTACGTAACATAATTTGGACTCTGATATGTAATTTCATCGACTTTTCAAAGTTTTACATGTATTAAAGATAATTACTCAATTGATAGAGCACAATGCTGATAATTTCAGCCGAAACATAACTAAAATGTGAACAATTTTCTATTTCAATAGAGATTATTAATCATTTCAAACAGACTGGAATCATTTTATGTAAGATAATGAATGACAAAATATTAAGAACTTTGTGAATGAGTTCGGCAGTATTAGTTCGAAAATACTCTCAATAGTTTTTCCGAATTTTTCAGATGTTATGCGTTTATATTGAATATGAATAATATTTGTTTGAAATGCATGATCAAATTATTAATAAACTGCTGTGTAAAAACATATTCAAGTAGTGTATATCATACGCAGACGAGAAAAACTGCTTCACCCCTAAATGAGTGTCTGCTATTTAATTGATGACACGAGGTTTTATCGCAAACATTCAGGAGCCCATTCTGCCGTAAACTAGACTAATATGAGGGCAAAGCTATGTTATGTAGCAGTTTTCATATAATGTGGTACCAAAAACTGTCAAAAACATAACTGGATCTTTGAGATATGGCTTTATAACAAATGATTAAAGTTGCAATTTATGTGTAAAACGCCTGATCGCACAGCAAATATATGGCTTTTGACAGTATTTAGTAGAATTTTGTATGAAAACTTGAACGTAACATAGCGTTGTCATAACATTGGTCTATTTTACCGCAAAATCGGCCCATCAGTATCAAAGCAGTAACTCTTGAACCCTTTCTTAGTATTTTACTACTACGTGCACTGCATATGCGCATTTCAGAGAAAATAATATTTTACATAATTCGTTGTTTTTCGTGACCAAGTGAGCGTAAATGTAGTGTAAGAACATTCCGAATAATGGCACGAGTCCGCGCAAATGTTCAGTTTTCAATGATGTGTCGTGTAATGTTCTGGATCCGCTCGATGTAGCAGCGCGAACTGGCATCCGCACTCGCGCGTCGGGTCGCCGTTGCGAGACGACCGCCTGTGGTCGTAGTGGAAGCATCGGTCCAGCATCAGGCAGCAGCAGTCGCGGGAACAGCAACAGCACGACGCGCAGCAATCCTGAAGCACACACGCAGCGCTTCAGTATTCGCAAACTAGCGGCAAATTCAACGAAACAATAGGGTCGGCTTGAAACGAGCCAGCGAACTATTTCAAATGATATTTTAAATCGCTCTAGAATTTGAACTGATTTTATTTTCATCATTTTTTACTCGGTTAATATTTAACTATTTAAAACTCTTATATTGATGGCCAAAGGCAAAGCTAGCAGTACAAATATGTACTTAAAATTTATATGCAGGATGACCCAGACCTTAGCGTCAAGCTGAAACCGGGTGATAGTATTGTCCTTAATCTCTTCGCGTACGAAGACGCCTCAGAGGCGTCCAAAGATTATCGGCCCAAACACAAATATTACGCCTCAGAGTCGTTGCAAGGTTATCGGCCCAAAAGCGAATAGGACACTTAGAGTCGTAGTAACTCTACCGGACGAAACATAAATAAAACATTTCCGAAACTTGGTGAAACATATACATACATCGTCTGTAAGAAGTTTTAAAAAAATACACATTATAATGTCTTCAAGAAAAAAATAGTGATGAATTACATAGCAGTAATGACTTTGCTACCAGTAGTACTGACAGTGGTACTGACATAATTTTTGCACAAATATATAAATTTATAATTATATGTATAAATTTATATATTTGTAATAATCCATTTTTAGTTTTATTTAAGAATCAATGTAATTATTTATCAAACGTCTTGCGAAGTCAATTGTACCGAGCACGTGTATATACAAACTACAGGAATTTTATGATTTGTACAGTTTCGAACGCCGAGCAAAGTTGTTTATGCCACTGCGTGCGGCCGACCTTAGTGTCGCTTTTGGCCCGTAAATTGGGGTTAACTGAGATAGAAATATTTAGAAAAAAATAACACCTCGTTTGGAAACTATAAGCTTTTAGATTCAACCTAAAGCTTTGATGAACTTATGACCACTGTTTGGTTATTGGGGTTGATTTTTATTTATTTTTTTAAAACTTTAAAACCGTAATCGCGAATAACATTTCTTTACCAAGTTTTCTAGAATTAAGGCATTTTTAGGTTTTCATTTTTTCACTCGAAGTATTCCAATAATTAAATAGTTGAGTATTTTACCATTTTACAATACTGACTAAATTACACATTACTGAAAGGGGGGTCTTAACTAGACCGATTTGAAAAATTTGAAATTGATAGTTCAACAAGCTACTTTGATTGTGATTCTGGAACTGAAAGAGTTCCAAAGTTTAAATGAACAGAATTAGTAAAAATTAACCACAATCAACAAAAAATGGTACTAATTTTACGAAAGCTCTCAGTTGCACTTAAAAGCTCACAATTTCCAACAACGTGAGATTTTTTTTCCAATTTTTTTCAGGACAGTTAAGGCTAATACTACTATCCAGTTTCGATCAAGGTCTGGGACACCCCGGGACACCCCAGTTATCACGTTTCATAATTTTCCAATTTCAAACCGACTCGTCCACGACGATACTTTTTTCATTTAGGCGAACTTCTCTAATAGTTGTATTATAATTCACGATGCATTTATAATCAATAATTTGATGTTCTAATTTGTTTTTATAGCTCTATAAATACTTTTAAATCAGACCTTTTTACAATTTATCATTTAAATTTTCGCATTCCATATCAGAAGTTATAATCAAAAATTACATTATAACTGAACTTATCAAGTAATTAATATTATTTTATATCTGCACGTTTATTTTACTTCTACTATATTTGTTTCAGTATTATATAATAGTAATTACTGGATAAGTTTAGTTAGCATAAATTTATATTTAATTGAACTTATAATTAAAAAAACTATTGTCAGCAGAATTTGATTGTAATAATTAAAAACTTATCCATGGAAATATTAAATTATTCAGCAATGCATTTTTAGATTTGGCATAAAATTGTTAGCAGCAAATAACAAGCTGGCATGTAAATAAAACAAGTAACAAGTCATTTAAATATTGCGTGAAGTATTTATTGTTTCTGCTACTTTTTATAAAAAAATTTGGGTATTTTTATGAAATCTAACCACACTTGATATGAAAGAGACGATATTAAACCAGCAATTAAAAAGGCGCGTCTGTCGCTATCACCAAATCGTATATGCGATGTATAGTTTTTCGTTTCATTAAATGATTGAAAATGCATAATAATATGGTTAGACTTTTAAAAATACTTTTCAAATATAGGTCTGCTGAAAATAGAAATATGCCGTATATTCTAAAATAAATATGAAGTATCTGTATATGTTGCTTCTTATTTATAAATCCATTTTAAAATGCTCACGTTTTAAAAGTTCAGTCGGTATATAATTCTATAAAAAATTAAATTGACAATGACAATGACGTGGTGCCCTTCACATAAAATTATCTGGCTTAATGAATTAACGAGGCTTTGTTATGGTAATCAATAATCTGCGAATTTCTCTTTCATTTTCAAATGTAGTAAACGCGAAGAGAATGGAGTTTTTAACAAGCAATTATAAAATGTAGATACGGCACTTTGTGGATTTTGCGCCTTTTGTTTGGTAGAGTCGCAATTTACATATAATTTGAGTAAATTAATTTATTTCAATAGGCAGCGTTAGAATGCGATGATGCTGAAGTGTATTCGAATAATAATGAAAACGAAAAAAGTCTATTTGATTATAGAATTATTATTATTGATGATGTAATTGGAGTTTATCACGTCAAGAGTAAAGCTTCATCACAAACTATTAATATTAACCACGAAACCATCGTTTTGAACTTTCGACTGATCTTTCAAATTTTCATTTTTCCGTAAATTATTTGCCGTTTGTTACGTAATATAAAGTTAAGATAAACATGAGCATTTTCTAGGTAATTATTCTTAATACTATATTTAATATTGCATTTATACAATTACCTATTCCTTACATTTTTTAATATTTCAGAGGTCTTCTTGACAATTATCTAAGCTAATTAATCTTTATATAAGCGTCGTTAATCTAAAAGCATTTTTCAAACTTTTATTTCAAAATTTAAAGCCACAAAATATTAAATACAAAATTCTATTCAATTTTTCGGTATAGTCTATTTTCAATACTTTGTTTATATGTGTGCGTTATTTTTCCTATGTGATACTTTAATATCATTTAAAATACTTGAAAATAAATGCATAATTATATTATATACAGAAATGCGTAATATATGGCAGAACAACCTAATATTGTTAATGTATCAAACGTATACTTAAATATAACTCGTTATTTTCAAATTATGTTCTAAATATTTATATGAATAAATACAATGCAACACAATTTATGCACTTGTTTTCTCATTTAATATTTATTACACATTTTTTTGCCAATTTTACCTTGGTAATGCTCTGTGATTCCTGAGAATGTACATGATAATTAATAACATAAAATTTAGTACTGTCAATTTAAAGAATATATATTTAAATATTTCTGAAATGAATACTTGGTATTTATTGAATCAATTACAAAATCAATATTAAGATGATTCTTTTTTCTTTCTTGTTGAAAATATTTTCAAACTACTGAACACTTCAAAGCATTTCTGTACTCGAAGTACTGAAATAAACAAATTTTAATTCAATGGCACTTCAGTCCTATGCAAAAAGTGCAAATTTAATTCTAATCTACACCGTTACGAAAGCATTACCTTACCTGAATGACAAACGCCGGTTAAACATCGATCAACAACTTTTTATGTATTACAAGTGCTCTAAATTGCATTGATTGCATTTTGTACAAAAAGCCTTATTAATTAAACACTAAACAGTGCTGGCCAGCTTGATAAAATTTTTAAATTAAAATTTTTGCTGATACCACTGTTTTTATTCAATATTCTACATGTAAGTTTGAAACTAACTACCTACTGTACAAGCTACATTATTCAACGGACTAACAACTTTATTAAAAAAAATAATTACAAAATTAATTTACTATTTGATAATAGTTGCGTACTTTTTTATAAATTATATACTAATGTTTCTTTTTTAAACAAAATTTACATTGTCGACTAGTTACATAAATGCAAATAATTTATCTTTCGCGAACGTCAAGGATGAAATTGCTCAAACACACCTACGCAATTGAAAAATACTTTTTTTATGGAAAATATAAACAAACAAACTGAAAGAACAATGTTTCTGTGATTCAGTAGATAAATATAAATTTGTAAAAGTAAATTCTGCGAGATGCAATATCTCTTTTTATCTGTTTGTATGTATGTAATACAATTTACATGAAAAGGTTTAACATAACAAATTAGTCAATTTCAAAATTAGAATTGTTAGAAAGATGTTTGAATGTCAATGAAGACATTGGCGCCTGTCATTTGGATAATTAAACTTTAAATTTAGTTTTAAAAAAGTTATCAAAAGTGAGGGTAATATATTTCTTTGTAATCAATAAATTTAAAATAGTAAAGTCGTTGAATTTCAATAGCGTTCTGACAGTTTTGTATCGAATTAGATTTGTCTTTACGCATTTGCATGCTATAAAAATAAACTAAATAAATTATCATCCATGATTTATGCTGATTGATTTATTCAAAATATTATTTGATCTCAGCATCAGCTGATGTTTATATTACTATGATACTCATTGAAAACTAAGCCTTAGAACTGTGTTCTTTTTGGCGCCAACTTCAAAAGCGTACCAGAAATAGATAATTTTGTATTTACAGTTTTTTTTATTGTATCCATTGATTGTTATGCTTAAATGAGCGAAAGGTGAATCTCATTTTATTTATAATTGTTTGTTTATTTATTTTAAAATGTTAGTTTAATGAGATCATCTAGAAATAGGTAAAATCAAATATTCACAAATGAAACTAAAATAGATTATATTTTATTGGTATTGAGTTACGAGATTTACGAAGACATATGATGCCCATTATAATGGACAATCATAATAACAGAACATTTTTTCGGAATAAATTTTTATAATAGATTACCAATATTAAAATGCATAACTATGATTTTGACCGCCAAAAAAATGGGAAACATTGAAAATCGTTCATACAATTTTTTTCCATTTTTTTAAATTCATTGTATCTAAGTACAAGTCTATTATGATTTTTGTATACAACATATTGATATATGTTAGTTACATTTATATTTAGTTAATAATTGAAAGTATTGTATCTTTCAACTATATTTTTGAAAAATCTTGGCACTGGCGTTTGTATTTCAACATTTGGCATGCAAACATGCATTCAAAACACTTAATACATACAATTATTATTTTCATCATATTATAGCAGTGGAATTTTAGGCGCGCGACCAAAAACATTACTTGCAATATAAATTATTTATTGATATTGAGTTAATTTGCATATTTAATGCAGCATACAACATACAATCTAAAGATAGTCCAAAATTACTTATCATTATTATTTTGACTAATATTATTGTTTGGCTATTTGTAAAATATTTAATTGATAAAACAAAGTAATCATAGAAAATTTAGGTTGAATTGCAATCTAATTGTTTAACTCGACTCTAGAGTAGGTATTTATTAAGAGAACAAAGAACTCAACATCCACCAAATGAAGCCAGACCGTTGTCGTAATTTTGGGCATTAAAAGCCGGGTACCAGCTTTCAGAGGAATTTGAACAGCGTTTCGCTTTCATAACGACCTTGGAGGATAATTAATGTTGGCTCATAATTATTTATTGAATCTGTAAATACTAACACAATGCAGAATAGGCAACAAGATATCACGTTTGCGTTAATTATTTTATGGCTTTAGAAATCATTTGCGAGTTGGAATAATTCATCACTTTAGTTCTCATTTACGTTGTAACAATTACACATCGTTTACTCTTTTTTTAATTGTTTCATTATTCGCACCATCATTTAACATTGATCAAAGTGCATTCGATTCTTTAATTGTATGCAAAACCTACATGGGACATCAAGTTTATAAAAGTTAGAGCAAGGATTTATAAAAAAATTCTTGAATAATATTTTTATCATGTTCCTTAACTTATCCAGCTTTTTTTCAATATTTGCAATTTTGAGAAATTGACACTAAATATTCAAAAATTTTATATCCTTCAATTTTTTATCTCTGTCAACTTTGGCAATTTAGTATTTTCATGTTCACATGAAGACAGGCTGAAGAGGCATGAAAAATTATTCCATTACTGAAATTACTATTACGAAATAGGAGTGTAAAAATTTAGGGCTGTGTGTGCTTTCGGGCACATATGAAAAAATAAATTAATGGAAATTGGTCAAAAAATAAAGTGTTGAGCATCGGCAACTCTTACCATTAAGGCGTATAAATAATAGATGTTTGATTCTCAGCCATACTGAATGTAATTAAAATATTCGCCGATAAATTCGGTGAAAAACATTTGGCTAAAGAGGGAGAAAAAATTATTCGATTGCTAAAAATACTATAACAAAATAGAAGTTTGTGGCGGAGAGTGAAAATTTAGGGCTGTATGTGCCTTTTAAGTACAAATCACGCTTTTATTACGATTATAACACATGCTCATTTACTCAAAATTATAAAACGCTATAATGGATCATATCATCTGAGTACGCAGATGCATCCATAATTACAAATTATTGCTGACAATTTCTCGTGAAACTGCAACTTCAGTCTTAAACGACGCATCTTTCGAGCATATAAGTTAAGTAATGCATATAAATGCAGTTTCATCCAAACATTAATTCTGCTGTGCATTTCCAGAGTCCTTCATCATCATTATAAAGTTACTATTTTGTACTCCGGTACATCCGGAAGTTAATGGGATGCACCGGATTGATGAAATGCATTGTTTACGTAAGATCAATGGAAGAGAAGTGTATTAACATACTGTAAACAACGTTAAATGATTTGTTCTACATTTAACTTGAATTTCAAACACGTGTAAAAGCCAACGAAACATTTTCTAACTAGTCGTAAGTGGCTTTTTGCCTGAAGGCAAGTTGCTTAAAAAATTTAGGACATTTAATGTATAGCTACATTTTTAAAAAGAATACAGAGTGTTTTGCAACATAGTCACTTCCACCGAAAAGTATTTACGATGGTCTCATAGACTCTTGTATGTATAACCAATATGATTTTAATAACTTGTTTATTTAATTAGTACTTAATGTTTTGAACTTATAGTTTCTTTTTTTCATTATTACCATTATCGTCGTAAGTAGGTATTCATTTTTTAATAACATTGCATAGGTAATGTATATATTCTTGCACTGAAATAAATATTGCAGATGTATGAAACATTAATGTTTCATGACAAAGTTTTTAAAACGGATTTAACTTTTTCTGTCTATCTGACCATTTGTCATCTGTCGCATAGAATACTTCTGTATAAAGTAAAAACGCATATCTGCCAGCTTCACATTTAAAACACAGCATGTTACATATTCCTAGCTCTTACTAAAAAAATGATAGAAATAGCTGTAATTTATGCGAAACATTAGTCATACTTTGCACATCCCAAGATAAAAATAAAAGATAGAATAAATGTTTCATAAAAATATTTCCATTGCAATGGAAGTAATGGTTTGAAAATAATAAGAATAAGCGCGAGACGGAGTTGAGATTATCTTGAAAATATTTTTCATAATAGAGGAGATTGATAATATAAAATATTTGCGAATATTTTAATGCGAATAAATAAAATGATAATACTAACTATAATTTAATTAACTCGGTATCTTGTAGAAGAATGTGCTATGAATAATGAGCTTCTTGTTAGAATAAAAGGATATACACAATCTGAAATTAAAAATATTTTTTTGATGTGTAATATTAATGCAACGATAATGATTATTATCATTAACCTTACTTTTTTGTCTTTTTATTTTTCAAAACTTACACGGATTACTTTTTTGTTTTCATTTACTTTACCTTATTTAATTACAGTTTGTTCTTGTTTCAGCTGTACTTATTTTTTCATATTAGGAGAAATATTATTTTCGACTAGAAAGTGAGTCTTAATATTATTTTGGCGTCGAATAAATAAATTACCTTAAATTTAATATACTGTATAACTTTCACAACTAAGTAAACTGGTGAAATAAATTTCATGAAATGAAATTACTTTTATACTGAGGCCTTCCATTTAGTACGCAGCCTAAAACTCGTTCCATTACTTTGCGCAAAGTTTGACTTTACATGAATTGATCGTAAATTGAAAAAAATTACCAAAGTACTTACTTTCCTATCATTATTGAAGAGAGTTGCATGTCATAAATTCTGTTAAATATTTTATGACACATAAAAATGCACTTTTCAGCTCAGAATAGACTTGAATAATGTCGCAAATGTAAAACTTAGTAGCAACGAACTACACCGCGGTCGCAATAAAAATTTAATAGTAGTTTTATGTTCGTGAAGGAGGAACATGCTAAGTAGATATTCCGTCAAAATTTGAAGTTTAAACTTTTTTATTATATCATAATTTGTAGTCTCTTTGTAACATTTTAATCCAGTTATTGTTTTGCTGGTTTAATAGTTTTAATTAATTTAACATATTCTTTAGCGGTATAAGTCTCAAAAATTAAAATGATTTAATTTACATATATATATATATATATATATATATATATATATATATATAATTAACTGCATTTGTTACGCTAATGCGAGTATGAATTTATCAATTTTATGGAAAAACTACATATTTAGAGAGCATGCGATATGAATTTTAAGTACTGAATTTCTTCTATTATTTATTCCCAAAATAGGTAATCTTCAAGACACGAAACCGATTTGTGTTAAATTCTATTTTATACCTTGTTCAAAATTCACATTCGTATATATTCTAAAATATACATTGTTAATATATTGGATATGAAGGTATAACTCTACATCTATGAATCGCTTTCATCGTAATATTTGAATGTTGTTAATATAATTATAATTAATAATTAATAACCCTGCAGTCCGGCACAGAATATGTCACCATGGACAAGACTCGTATACACCGGTAGTCGAGTAATTGTCGTCCATGGACGACACTCGTAGCTAAGGGGTTAAAAAGATAAAATTGAAAAGGACAACACATGAAATCATATACTATTTTAACTTCGACGTTTCTCATATAATATATTAAATATTAACGCCTGTCATTTGTAGATGGTTTACATATGTCGTGTTCCGAAATCGTAATGATATAATTTCAAATTTGGAAGATTATAAAAACAAAATTACTATATTTGTTCTGTATCAAAATTATTTATGTCCTTTGTATGTGCTTAGCATAATTATATAGGTATATGTTATATTTTCTGAAAGTTAACTCAAAATACGTTATAATTCAAGAAAAAAACTCCATATTTTTATCTTTTAATTTCTATTTTGCTCCTATACGATGCTTCGCAAATATAGTAAATTTATTTATCAAACTCGTCAGTCACTTTTGCTAAATGCAGTTAAAGTTCTTCTCTATTATTACAATAAATATTAAAAATAATAGATTTAATTATTACTATTTTAATTTAAAAAATTAATAAATGAGTAAAGTGTAAAAACAGAGACATTATTTAATTTTGTTCCAGATCATATTTGCAACACAAAATGATCCTTAATTTTAGTTTCACGATGAAGACAACCTAATTTCGTATAATTACTGTACAAATTTTATCTTCAGAACTGAGTTGCCAATGACATTTTTTTATCTTGAACAATAAATGCTTAGTTCGTATTCGTGTTAGTTGTAAGTAAAATTTCTGTTGCGAAATCGTACATGATTTTAATGTCCCGAACGTTGAAAGTTTTACGACGCCGCATTGCTGCAGTTATCGGGCCGGTAAATCGCTACTGCTGTATTTTGCGCAGTAGCGCATATGCCTACCCTTTTCTCGGACATTATCGCGAACTTAAATTTGCTTTTATTTTAATCATTTATCGATTAATAATTAATTTAAATAATGCTATGCATGTTGCATGACGGCGTTTTATGTTAATAAACTTATTTCACACATGAAACGGCTTTCATAAATGATTTGAGGATCAACATTAAGGTGTTGCTTTGATTTTTTTAAAATTAGTAATTCTGTAAGCATGCAATATCAAATATATATATATATATATATATATATATATATTTATATATATAATACATTAAGATTTTGTTGGATATTTTATAACTTAAAAGAAATGAAAATAAACACCACAATTAATTTTTAAAAAAATAATTATCTATTATAATTCTCCGAGTAATAAACTTTTCTATAATATATTCTGCATTTTCAGAGATTTTTTTGATTTTGTGTAACCGAGTTTTATTCAAAAGGGTGTACCGCATAAACATAAAGATAATGAATTAGAAATTAAAATTCATGCAAAAACGTATGCCTGAAGGCGAAAACCGCATCTCTTATCATGAAAAACTTTTTCGGAAGCGTGCTAGCACGAGATGCAAACAAAGAGTTACATTTAATTTAAAAGAGTGAGTTCTTCCACAAAGTTTTTTGAGCATAACAGAAACAATACTCATTGCTTCTTGACCTGAATTCAAGAAAAATTCAATAAATGAAGAAGTCGAGTTGTAATATTGGTCTTCGAGAAAACTGCGGATCGAAAGTTTGAATTACACATGTTAAACTTTCAGTTGGCATAATTCAATAAAACATAACCATAATCACAAGTTTATATGTTATATACACTAGTTAATGTATTATTTTGATATTAGAAGAATATTTTCATGTGATTGTATTTCACACATTTGGTATTTAACCCTTTTGCTACGAGAGTGCTTTCGGCAGGAGTGTCGCTGCTTTACGGGAAAGCGTGCCGCTCAGTTGCACTACTGAACGGTATATTTCAAGCCTTTTTTTAACATTATCAGTAAAAATATGTTAAAAAATTACGCTTCTAATGAACTAAAAATTACAATAGACTAGAATTCTCAATAGTTTAACTTATAATTAGAGTGACATATCTTGAAGCAAAGGTAAACACAACATGTCGTCCATAAACGACATCGTCGATGGACAACGTTCGTAGCGAAAAGGTTAAAGTATATAAATAGTTCACATAAAAAAGATTGAAAAAATGATTTTGTTATGAAAATTGAGTTTTCTCTAGTAGAAGTGTTTGCGGAGATATACCGTTTTATTTTTCCATCTTATTTTTAGGCCCGATCAAACACATGCCGGATGCAGGCATTTGTTACTGTGACGTATTTTCCGGTGACATTATTAAAACTTAAGAGGCTATCGAAGTGGCCCGTCCGTCACTGAATGTGGGTGTACACTTTTGTTTCGTGTTCGTAATTAAGTATTTAGATATAAACTGATCGCGTGTTTGTAACTCATATACCTACGTGGCATTGCGCAGTCTAAATATATCAATGACGTCAGCACAAATGAAAATATAGTCAAGGGGTGGTTTTGCAAAAAAAAAAACGCATGAAAAACTTATGTCCGGAATGGTTACAGTTTTCGTTAAATAGGCTAAAGCCATTACATTATTTGATTATGAATTCAAGTAGTACAACGCACGCGGTTCCCATCCAGGTACGAAGGTGCAATCGTGAACATATGGCACATCTTGAACAATATTAGGTTGGAAACTAATTGCGCATTTTTGTTAAAAAATTAGATATTTTTTATGGAACTAAATGACTTTATTTTAAAATGACCATTGTGATCAATGACTTCTTGCCATTTTTCAAACAACATCATCATCATCTCAATTTTATAAATCTTCTCGCTTTAATTAGCAAAAATCTAAATCAGGTACAATTTAACACCATCATAATTATTTAATTGCATACCTTTCAAGGAGTTTGTGAATATCGAAACAAGAAGTAAGCAAAATGAGTAGAAGGTGCAAAATCAGGACTCTGTATGGTTGATATGGCAAAGTAAATTCCAACTCCCAACCAAGCTCCAATAATTTTTGTCGTGTGTACAAAGATATATAATATTGTCAATAATCGAATAAATCACCGTTTCGAGTTACCAATTCAGGCCGCTTTTTCCAACTGCATTGTTTAATTTTGTTAGTTGATTAATGTAAATATCAGAATTGATCATTCGGTTGGTAATAACATTTAAAGTAAACAATTCTTTTTGAATCAACTTTAACTGGACGACCATACCGTTTGTATATATATATATATATATATATATAATATTACATATTTATGTGTTATTTATAAACATTTCAACTTTCTGCACTCAACACTTACTTTAAAAAAAGTTTTGACATGAACACATAACTTAACTTCTCCATAAGGAAAGTTCTGATATTGATGGATGCTATTCAATAATTTCGTAATTCTTATACTCAACTTCAATTTTTTATAAAATATTATATACATGCAATTTATTTTAATAAAACGCAAAGTTTGAATATTTAAACTCATGAAAAAAAGAACGAAGATTGTACATGATACAAATATGACTGCAAATGTAGATAATATAAAGTCCTTTTTAATGCATGCTCATCGCAGCGTACGGGTGCATTAAGCTTTCTGGAGCTTTTCGTTAAAAACTATTATTTCAATGCTTGGATTTTTTTATTGATGGTTTGTGATATAATAACCTATTATTAACTTTATATATCGTTGTAACATTAGTTGCTACATATAAACAATATGTTAGTAATCTATCTAATAAATTGTTCAATAATCATGACTTTTTCATTTAAATAAGGCATTGAAATCTTTACTTGTAGTTGCAATTTAGTGTGTTATTTTGTATTACAATTTCATTGAATATTGAAGAAGTAAGCAATTATAACCGCTAAATATTATTTCTCGGTTTTCCTAAAATTTATAAAAATTCCTATCATTCGAAGGAAAAATATAAGTAAAGTTATGAATCTAACTAAAACTTCAAATCAAATGTGATTTTTGTTATATTTTTTTAAATTTAATTTTTACTATAAGAAAGGAACGAAAAAGTTGCAATTGACTCAATTTTTTTTATTCATTAATTTATTGGCTTTATAACCATTTATTGAATAACCATTTATTCAAATATAAAAATAAATTAAATTAAGTGTATTAGAACTTTTATCGAAGCTATTCTTAGATTGACAAACAGTTGTCCAAAATCACTGTTGGTAAATACATGAGGCTTCCAATACGAAAACGGTATACGAATTCGAATACAATACGAGTACGATGCTACATTCTTCTCAATTATTTTATTTATTCGTTCTTTTATTCCCATTGATTTTTATTGCCAAGTTTGGCGCTCGTGCCGTATAATTGCGGAGCTCGATCGAGCACGTTTTCTACGTGCGTGAGATTCAATAGATCACAGTTATTTGTAGTCAACATGTTGTAGGTACTAATAAAAATAGGAAATTTATATATGTAGGAACAGATTCACATCAGCAGTTTCCAATGCAATATTTTACGGAATTCTTTTGGTATTTAATAAAATGTAATAAAATATGCTCATATAAAAATATAGATGGATCAACTACAACTTTATTTGGATATTATGATGGTGTAAATTGAAACCAATAAATTATAGAAAAATTACATTGATTTTTCTTCAATATTTTCTGTACCAAACTATTTCCATACTACACATATATTGTACAAAAATGTATTCACAAAATCATCACCTCGATTCTATACCATACGTCAATTCAATTGAAAAGATTGCTTCTTTAATTATGTTTTTAATAATTACGCAAAATAAAAAAGTTATCTGTAATGGGTGTGCGACATATGTTTTCCAATGTAATTTTTACCGCTGAATATAAATTTAAAGTCAAAATTTTGGGGGTTGCAAAACTGCAAAAGAGAGAGAGAAAAGAGAGAGAAAAATAAAAACGACCAATTTTCCGATTTAGAAATTTTGCTACATGATAATTATACTCGTAAAATTTCTGTCATTTTCTCGTTAAATGACCTGCCCAACGAATTTCCGCAATGCTTTTTCATCTTTATTGAATATCCTTATCTTTTTGCAACTTCCAGCAGTAATTTACACATAATTCACTCCCTATTTTTTTGCTAATACATTTATAGTTATCTAAAAATATGTTTGCAAATTACTTCTGGATCGTACAGAAAGATACTCAGTAGTGATGAAGAGTTACAGGAATCAGTAAAACATAGTCAGTCATTTAAGTAGAACATAGTCAGGAAACGACAGAAATTATAAGATTTTAATTATTATACAGCCACATTACTAGACTGGAGATTTAATTATTTTTTATGGGGAGAAGGTGCTTGACCCTCAATTTTGACTCTGAGTTTATAGTATGATAAGTGGTTGTCTAAATAATTTCAAATTTTTATGGCGATTATTGAAGTTAGTCAAACTATTATAAATAGCCAATTCTGTTATATGAAAACTCATATATTTATAAATTTTTATTCTATTTTCAATTTCTACTAAAATCAATGCGCTGTATATTTTAATAACATTCTCTTTGATACTTCTCAAGTTGAAAATTCAAATTCCGAAAGTTTTCGAATACTTCACCATCCATCAAGGGAACTATTACTGACACTATTCGAGTACGTATGCGCAGAGGAAAGGCGCTGAAGTTACCGACCGGGTTGCTCCGTCAAGTGCGACAAAGTTGTATATGTACGATATAAAGTGCATTGTGTTGAACAGAATATGCATCCAGAAAATTTATAAATATTACATGAGAGCTTATACTTATTTGAAATTCATTTTTAATGACATTTAAACTTTTGTTTGTAGAGAAGTATAAAGTAACTAGATTCCATAGATAATAACACAATTAATAGATAAAATTAATTTCCCTCACCCACTATACACTGATATTAATGAAACCTAAATTAGACTTATTCAATGATTGATTTGCTGTTAATTAATTCCATGAACTTTTTTTTAAAGATATGTTTCATGTAAATTATTCTTTAATGTATATAATATAAATAAATATATGTATATTTAAACACGAATATTCAATTTTAGATATTATATTTTTCGATGCCGCTGTTTGCGAAATTCATGACCGACTGCATCGCAAAATCGAGATATGTAACGCTTCAATTCAAAATATTGATTTCTTTAAATGAACATTACATTTTCATTGGATGCTTCGTTAATATAAATCTCAAAATATTACATTCTTCGTATTAGTTTCTAACAATAAATCATTTTATTATGAATTATTGTCAACAACGATATATTAAAGATGAAGCAGCTTTTAGCATTAATTTTATATTAAAATCGGCATTCACATTTATTAGTTAAATAATTGTTTATAGAAAATAAAACATTTACAAACAGTTAGAGTTCTCAGGCTAGATTTCAACATCAAACATCCATACATCAAGATCATAATTTTGAATAACAAAAAGTTAGTCATTATTATATAAGAAAGTATATTATAGCAAATATTCATTATTGTATAAGTTGCAAGTCCGTTATCTACTAACTAAAAGTCCACATCTTCGAACAATGCTGATAAAACTTACAACTAAAACGTGATCAATTACTTAGCAATTGAGGATGAAAATTAAACATCCATGAGCAAAATGAAAACTTTCTCGCTGATAAATTTAGATTAACGTTTTTCTAGCAACCGTAACATTTATATGAACTGGTAGACGAGCGTCGTTCAATGGAAAAAACACGCCACAGCACTTTATATGTTCACGTAATTCTAGTTTCCGACGAAGCATGAGGAAATAAAACTACAGAGAAAATACGCGGAAAATATACGAGTCAATCTTCGAGTCGAATGTTAAGGGAATGTGGTGAAGAAATATTTATGTTCTGAAGAAATCGGCAAATTATTGGATTTTTACTGAACTACTTTTTTAATACTTATATTATTATTTTAGACAAAATAGACTTACGGATATAAAATCACAAACGCATTTGAAATCAAATTCCTTTTCCGAAACGTTTAACACGGTTTGATCAAAACTGTCTTCTTCAATACGATGACCACGATTTTGGATTATTAGGAGGGTAGCAATCATGAACACAATCACTTTTGTTTATTATTGCAATTTTGTGTGACCCCCCATATGAACTGCTAATTTTTACAAATATTTACTTTTTTTACTTTTTTTCTGTACTCTTGTGACGTCGATAAATAAATTACAAAAAATAATAGTAAACGATTTTTTAACATTTTTGCGATGGTTTGAAAATGACCAAAAATTCGAAACCTTACACTAAAATACCCTCTTAAAATCAAATCGTTTGCAAAGAAAACAAAATATGGAATTGGGGATAGAGCAGAAATGGAGGATTATTTATTTAAGGGGGTATTCTAGTGTAGAGCGATGAATTTTGGGTCATTTTTAAAGTGTCGTAAAAGAAATCAATGAATGTTTTTACTATCAATTTTTTTACCATTTATTTATTAATGTTAATAAAATACAAAACAATAGTTAGAAAATAAAAAAGTTGAAAATTGTAGAAACTGGCAGTTGATAAAGTGGTTGGTCTCAAAAAATTGGCACCTCAGTCTTGACAAGATTTCAGCCCTTCTAGCCATCGGAAATGCAAAAAATAAAAAGATTTTTAATCTACAATGATGTCGCAATCGGCTGAACTAGCGATGAGTAAAAAATTTTTTTTTTCACAAATTGGCGACTGTTTGAAAAAAAATAATTTTTTTTTTACTGTTTTTTTTGAGTTTGTCGAATTTTTTGAAAATAGAAAATATAGGAACTTTGGGATGATTCTAGTTCAGACTGTAGATATATCTATAAACAAGACTCTCTGAAAATTTCAAATAAATTGGTCGATTATAACTCCAGAAATCGTGACAAGAGTACTGAAAAAGTAAGTTCTGAGAAAAACGCATTTAAAGTTTTGCGTGAAGCCAAACCAGTATGGAGACCGAGTCAGTAAAATGCCTATATCTCCGAAAATAATTCAAATTATTAAAAACCTTCTCGTACCCATATTCTTAGATAGCTAAACTTTGAAAATATGAAATAAAAATAATCGATTTTTTTGAATTTCTACACTAGAATACCCCCTTAAATATTAATAATTAAATATCATTAAATAATATAATCTAATTCTTGGAAGTCTTTGGTGATCTTAAAACATTGTATGTATTAGTAAATGTTATAAATAATTTATTATACAAAATGATTCGTGAATCAAAATTATTGCAAAAATAGTTCCGTAACTTACTGAAAGGCTGTCATCGGCATTGTTCAAAGACTTTCAGGAGCGACTTTCATGACATAAGATGATGATTCTAATTTCGTGTTATTCCTTTTATAATTGTCGATATCTCATAAAAGTTCGACCCGAATGTGGACCTCTGTATAATTCTACAATTGGCAGTACACTACGGATGCGTGTTTCTCTAGCAATTGCTACTTACCTGAACGCAGGCGGCGAGCGGCCCAGGCCCGACGTGCTGACCCGTGCATGGTCCGTTACCGGTGCACGGGCCGCCGACGGAACCGCCCGTGCAGACCCCGGTACCAGGTACCTTGAGTTGTTCCTGCTTGTAGTCCGGCTGATACGGCAGCAGCATTCGGATCTTGCCCCAACGATTGAAGAAGAGTGCGATTGCGCCGACCCATACCAAAAGGACTAGGACTACGATGCCTACTTCAACGCCTCGTATCTGTGGATGATTATTAAAAAAAAGTTAACAAAGAGGAAGTTACGAAATTAAGTAAACAATTTACAAAAAATTATCAACAAACAAAAATTAACATTTTCATACGTAATAATCCTATCATTTTAAAAAATGTAATTCATCAAGATGTTGGAATATCCGCAAATTTGTATAGAGTTCGAATTCATACTCGCATTCGATAATAGATTTTCTATGGATTCATAAGGTGTTAATTTCTATTATTAGCGACTTTTTTGTAAGCAGAATATTTTCTAGTTCTTCTTTCTATAAATAACGCAAACGTGCTTCATTTCAATCTTCATTATTTAATTCGACATTGAAAAATATTTCAGCAGAAATATATGATTAAACTCCCGAAGGAAAAGTTTATTTTCGTAAGAAATTCCGATTTACTAGATCTGTTTTCCCGATATTTCAAGTCATTCTGAATCGAATGAGATTAAATTTTTCTTAACTAAATCTAAAGTTTATCAATGAAAAATCTTATTCTTGTCTTATATAATTACAGATTCATAAGAATTACCTTCATCAAGTAGAAAATCATATCTACTAACTACAGAATTTTGATAAAAATAGATTAAATGAACTTAAACCAAAATGTGATATGAATTCTATCCCACTAAGAACTTAAGCGGGTATTCTACTGTAGAGGCATGAATTTCGCCCGGTTTTTGAAGCGCTGTATAAAGGAAACAAATAATATTTTTACTATCGATTTTTTTATCATTTGTTTATTGATATTTTATTATTACATGAAAAAATTATTAAAAAAAATTAAAATTCACAAATTTATGAGCAGTAAAGTGGGAGCTCAGAAAAAAGAGGGTGTCCTGGCGTGCATGATTCCAACCCTCCTGGTGATGTGAAACATAAAAAATATATGGATTCCTAATTATTATAGATGCCGCTATCGTATGACATTTCAATAAGTTTAAACAAAAATTTTTGTTTGAATGGCGACAATTTGAGAAAAAAAATTTTTTTCATGTTTTTTAAACAATTCCGAATTTTTTAAAAATACTAAATGAAAAGTTATAGTTTTGGGCAAAGTCCATGCGATAAAGCGATATATAGAGAAGATCCTCTCCAAATTTGAAGTAAATAGGTTCATTAGAACTCGAGATATCCTTACCGCCAGCTCGAAAAAAGTAGTTACGAGAAAAACGCGTTCAATGTTTTGCAGTCGGTCGGACTCGAACCGAGGCCACGTCACTAAAACGGCCATAACTCAAGAAATAATAGTAATTTTGAAAAATACTTTTAATGACATATTTTTGGATAACTAAACTTTGAAAATATGAAAAAAAAAATTTCGATTTTTTCAAAATTATACGGTAGAATACCCCCTTAATGAATGTTATACTCCATAACCCGCAAAATAAAGCGCTCCACATTCGGGATTAACCGTTTTAGAATTTCACAAAGTATTTCGAAGCACAATAATGTATTCGGAAATGTGTTTACTGTTGAAATGAGCCGTTACCTGCGGGAATTCCTTTTCTGGCTCGGTCAGGGTAGTGGGGCGTACGGATGACGGCCGAGCGGGCGCCGAAGCCGGGACGCCTGCGGGTGCTAAGCCCACGCCACTCATAGGGCCGAAAGCGCTCAGAGCGCCCGAGTCCTGCTGCGGCGATGTGCGTGGAGGTTCTGGAAAGGAAATAAAAGAATGATGATACCGAATCTGATTAACAAGAAGATTTTAGAATTTACTGGCCTGAATTTTGTTTAACTTTATAACCAAACGAAACGCACAATACGATGTTAGATTACTTAACTTAACTTAACTATACAATGTTGAAAGATTTATATGATTTTGATAGCGAATTTTTAATGAGTTCACCAACATTGTCACCGAACATTTGCTATCCTAAATTTTTGAAACATCTTATGAGAATGCTAAAAATGCTTATTTTTAGTAGTGTATTTATGTTTCTAGTAGTACACTAGCTTATGTAATTGTATTACTTCAACGTTTTAAATATAACCTAGCGATTCGCTTTGCGCGACGACACTATGCTAAATTGAGAATAATCGCCCAAAAATAGAAAACTTTTCTTAGAGTACAATTAAACGAGCAACAGAAAATGATATCTCAATTTATGGCTTACATCCAAATTTCTCATTCATATTGTAATGAATATTAATTGCAATAGTGCTGCAAGTGATTATGATGATCAAAACATATTTGTTAACATTCTGATATCAACAAACACGTGACGTTTTTGGTATTGGCTAACAGGAATTCGTCGTACATTCATCTATGTCCTTCTATTTGTTTGTCACCCAAAAACATAAAAACATGATAGGCCAAGGCCTATTTATTACGGAACAAATTCAAAAGTAGAACATCGTTGGTAGTTATTGTTTAATTTTCAATTTGGGAAGCCGCCAAAGCAACCGACTTTTAAAATTTTTAATGGACAATATTTGTGCCCTACATTTGTTGCAAAATTATATATAGAAAATTAAGTCTTACCTGTATCGTGTTCTAATTCACAACACAAATTCTGAAAAATTCTAGTTCATAAATTGCAACATTCATTGCCTTACAAAAGTATTTCAAGGCTATTTGAAGTTCTAGATGTATGTTTGTCATTAATGTTAATTAATATATGAACAGAATATTGGTACTAGACTTTTAGAATATTTGGCCAAATATTTGTTGGCTATTTTACTCTAGACCAGTTTCGAAAACTTCATGAGTTTTGAGAAATTTTAGAAATTACCACAATTAATAGAATAGTGCTATTATAGTTTTAGGCAAATATTTGTCGTCAAAAATATTTTTTTATGTGAATGATTCTTTATAGTTTGCGGAAATGTGTTAAATACGCAGAAATATAGAAATATTATAGAGATCAAATAATATCAAATTACTCAACGCACAGAACTACTGCAAAACTCCATCCACTCCTTCTGTTTCTGATACTATTATTTTTATGATTTGCAATTGTTGTGAAATTACATTCGAGCAAAATCATTAGTGCAAACAAACGATGCAATTTCCCGCTTTGTTTCACCGATTAATTCGTGCGCTGGAAATTATATTTTCCTCGTAAATGCATTATATTTGTACGTCATGGTAACTTTGCCGACCGAAGCAAAGCTAACACTTTTGGGCTTAAAGTATTTGTCCAAATTAAATGAAAACGATTGTGATGAATTTTCGAATTGTAGACAAAATGAAACACGGAATTATTTGCGAAGAGAGACATATTGAAATAATGGTAATAAAAGGCTTAATACAAAATAATATAAGAATTGAAATTTTTGGAAAATATATTTTCCGTATAGAGTGGTGACTATATAAATATTAAATTCCATCCATTTTTTAGTATCAATCTTAACTTGTCCATACTATTATACTGACTTATATTATATTATCATATTTACGTTATACAACCCAACGTGTAGTCATGTTTCAAATCATTACCATGTACATTCGTGTGGTTATTTTTTCTCGGATTAAAATTCGTCCTATATAATTATGCAGAATTTTAATGAAATTTACTTGTGTGCGGCGCCCAGTTAATTTAACAACGTATGCAGTCATAACAATTAAAAAAATGTACTGCACACGAAACGTAATTATTTTTCTCTGTTTTGCGAAACCTTCTTGCTTATAAAAACAGAATACATGATCATTGCGCATATTTCAGCAAGCTTTTAACAGCCTTAAATTTGTGGAAGTAAATTTTGTAATTTTATATATTATTCCATAACTTTGCGAAAGTCCATAATTTTTTCTGTGTACATCATGATTTGTTTATTTTCTCTAATTACTTTCTACGCTATTTTAAAATTTCATATCACTTTGTGTCCGTAAATTGAGCTAAGTGGTATAATAATATACACAATATTATAATGATAAAGTTATAACTATTATTTATTTTATATCGAAAATATAAAAAATTGCAATTGCATAAAATTAAGCCTATTTATAATTTGTAGTGAAATTTGCAGTGTTTAATTCTTGAATTTTCACGAATTTTATATATTTAGTTCACGTTTATGAATGCAAATAAGTTCTTAATTAGAAATTTACCTGAAGTTTTGATCTTGCAAACGCTACTTTAATATCGTCTATGGAATATTTCACTTCGAAAGCTCATGAACAAGCTTTGTAGTCTAATCTGGAGTAGTTTTAAAGTTTCACAGAGAAAACAAGAAGAGTTAGAGTTAGTTGGGAGCTCTGTCAAGAAGACATGAACATTTTCCAAGCGCCTTAGTTATTGATACGTTCTATAATTAAAACACTGGAAATATTTTTTTGTTCTTTTATTCGAAAATTGCAGTCGGATATTTGACTTTAAACTTTTTATGTGATAAAAATAAATTCAGCGCTTATGATAATGCAAATCCAAATTAGTTTTGTAATAATTCAATCTAACGTTTTGTTATCGAAGGTGCTCCACCAGAGTTTTATAAAAATGCATAAATTAATCCAGGTGATTTAACTTAATTTGATCTTTGCTTCCCATATTTATGGTAACCTCTGCTAATGATATCTATATCCCAAAGCTTTCGCCGTCTTTATATTAAATATTATATATCACAAAGGAGACGTTGCTACATTTCCACTATCTTGTAATATTCTTGAGTCGTTTTTCCAAAGCACGTTATCACATTATCTTTTATGAATTATAAAACTGGTTATACATTAAACTGTCTTTTCATATTGAATTAATGAAATGCATGGTTCAAGTTTTATGGTAATTAAATCATAATATATTAAACTCGTTTTAATATTTTTGCCGAGCTAGAATTTTCGAAAAGAAATTACTTTACATAGAAAAGAATATTTCTTAGAAAATGAATTGTTGGAAAAGTTGTTTTGTTTTTTGGAAATGATAATGGATTGTCAATTACAAGCCAACTAAAAGTTATAAATTGTTTTTATTTTTCGAATTACATGAAAAATCATTTAATTTTATAAAAGGTTATTCAGTTAATGTGGACCATATCAATCTTAAAATGTTTCTTCATACCAATTGTCGTAAATTAGAAATGTAAGATATTAATTATCAAATAATATTATATAAAAAATAAATGAAGTTTGGCACGGTTAAATTCATAGAATATTTTTATATTGTTGAATTTACAGCGCTATTTTTTTTTATTTTTTTTTTTTTATTTTTCATAGCAAGCTATAGAAAGTGCATTCAGCTACATTTGTTACAGTTATATATTATTTGACTGCGTGAGATGGATCGCTATCTTGCGATAGCGCCTTCATAGATGTTAAGTTATATTTTGTAGTAAATCATTGCAGATTCTTTTTTTGAGACGCTTTGGTGGTAAAGGCTTGAGCAGATCTAACGCTAATACGTTTGGATGACGACTTAGACGAGCTTTGTATCTAGTGTAGCAAAGACTAATTTCTTCTAAAAAAATGATATTCATTTTATTTAATCATTGCAATCCACTTCAAATGATTGATTGAATCATCAAATTTTTAAAATCAATATCAAGTAAATTGAACTGTTGGTACAAATTTTCTGAGGTAGTTCGATAAAAATGAGCTTAAAGATTTTCACGCATTTTTGGCGAAAACGTCATTGGTCATTAAGTAATCAGTTAAGTGAACAAAAACAAATAATCATTTTTTAAAAAAGCAATTTTTTTTTTAAATAAAAGGAACGAGAAAAAGTCGAATAAGAAAAATAATTGATATATGTAAGGTTTTAATAATAATTCCATATAAAGTCACAGAGTACTGTCGACTTTATGTATCTACACATGGGGTATATTTATATTAGGACATGTAAAAACTAATGAATGCAAATGAGTGATTCTCACCTAGTGTTCGGAAGACAATAGCTCGACTCTTGATTTTCTTGTTGAGCCAGACCGCGGTCACCGTCAGCGAGTACTGGGTGTCCGGGTGCAAATCCACGAGCGTAATGGCGTCCGAACTGCTGTTGATCGACGCCACCACTCTGTAACTAACAAATACAATTCAAAAGACTGAACACGACATAATTACTAGAGATACATAATCACAAATTACAATCCTAATAAAGCATCTATTCATTTCGAAATGACTGCAATGAATCATGAAGTAAAGACAAGATCATGGTGAAAAACATTTCTGTTCTTGTTTTGTTACTTGTATTTTACTCTTACTTGTACAATTTAAAAAGAGTATAACACGTCAGTAAGTCAATGAAATCTAAATTCTGCAGTTAGATAAACTGTATTGTTTGATGTACTATACAAATATATTTTTCCATCCACCTTCTAAATTGCTATGTAAAAAATCTCGAAATTTCTCATTTCAGCATCTGTGTGTTTTCATTCTATTTATAAAAGAGATTAAAATGTGGTGCATTTCGCAAAATTAATTTTTCAACATGTATTTTTTCTAAAAACTCTCGTAAAAACTTTCCATTCTCCAAAATGCACATATCAGTTAAATAACATTAAATTCGTTCAAATATATCTATGGCAAAAAACAAAATCTATACATAATAAAGTTAATTTAGATCGATTTATAATAATTTGTTTTAGATCGACCCATAAATTATAGGTCTAAGATTATCTTCTTTATTGATAGAGATTTAAAATTCTCCTTATTGTTGCATACATTAACGTGAAGTTATCATTTTTCAATTTTGATAGTGTTAAAATCGTAAAGAAAAGAAAACCAAAGATGTTTCTGAAATTACTCAAAAGTATCATTGAAAATACTGTAAAATAATATTTTACGTTTAAATATTGTTTTTATAAAATTTTATGCAGAACATATTAAGTTACATAAGCTGTTTTCAGCAGCAATATTGTACATACGTAATGTTCCAAATAATTAAACTATAAATTAACATGAAATAATATGAATTAAATATAAATTGGCAGATGAAGAGGTAGTTTGAAATAGAGAAAAATAATAGCAATAAAAAAGCTTCTGTCAAATATTAGGGCCATTTCGTAGGCGGATTCTTAAAACAAATATACAATCGTGGCAGGTTATATGTTATAAGTATCCAAATTAAAATACTTGTGTGTGAAATCTTTGTCATATAAATTCTTGTCATTTAAGTTCAAGGTCTACGTGTCGAGTTTTAATATCATTATTCGTATCTTGACTTTATCTTCAATACATAATTCCGCAAAATTATGTATCATGCCACAAAAGCCATTATGATATAATTGGAATTTCATGCATGAGCCTTTGTTATAGATAAATTATGCAGCAACGACGCAGATTTACTCTGCGGCATATTATGGAAAATAGTTACATCCGCATTTACCTCTCGTCTAGTTTGTAGCTCGTTATTTTTGAACCGGAGTTTCATTTTACTCCTCTTTGGACTTACTTAGAAGTTATAAGTAGGCTATGAACACATTCTATTTTAATTATATACTTCAATAAATAGAATAAAAGCGAATGGATGTAAATACAGACCTTAGTTTTTACCCTGGTAATTTAAAAAATGAATTCAAACAAATACTTGTATTATTTAAATTGCTTAGCAATAAAACTCAAGTATCTGAATATAACTTTCAGATTTATTTCAAATTTAAATTTTGAGAAGATTTTTGAAAAATTGTAAATCTAGAATATGCACAAGAAAAAATAGCGTTTTTAAAAAAATAATGCTTTGACACCATAATCCTGCCCTTGTCAGATAAATATATTTTACAATTATTATTATTCCATTTTATCTTACTTCTGGGCAAACAGCATTTAATAACACTTGTAGATACGTTTAAATATAAATGAATATTAATTCAAATATAAATATAGAAACGAATATAAAAATAAAGGACATCAATACACAAATCATCAGAAATTTTATTATTTTTTCTCAATTTCTGATCTGATTTCTCAACTTTGATCCAGCACATGTCATATGTCTAAATTTAGAGCCCAAACGTTTTTGACGTTATTTATGCGCTTCGGACGGACGGATGAATGCACAAATCATTCAAAGCAAAAGGTTTTTTTGAAGGGTTATAAAATTCCACAAAAAGGTATTTTTTTATATGGGGCATACTAGTAGCGAACGGTCTAAACAATTTATATGTGAGGTCGAGTGCTAAAATAAAAATAGAATGAGGACAACAATAATAAATAAGTGGTAGGTTAATTGTTTTTCGTTATTGTTTAGATTTTAGTACTTTTAATCTTCTTTCTGAAGCTCAGCTCTCTAGCTATTTTACCAAAAATCGCCGCCTATTAAATTACCACAAGTACATACTATTTTTCAGAAGATCACGATTACAAAGATAATTCTCATCATTCTTTTATATTACAAGCTGAAAATGGTTTGAATGGTTTTATATTAAATTGCCATTACTTAAATAACATATATAATAAAGTGCAAAGTTTGATTATTTGTAGCGAAATTTAAACCAATATGTGTAATTAATCACAAAATAGATAAGTTCTTGTATTTTTGTAAGACTGTAGTCAAATCTATCTAAATTATAGAAAAATATATCATTTCCATGCAATAGAAAGCACAGTGTACCATAAAAACTTTGAGGCAGATAAAAATTAGACCAAAAGTGCAGAGCCTTGCATATTGCGTAATAATAGTAATGGGTAGTACTGCCTTAGGGCAAGTTCGTGAGGTTAGTTAAACTCCAACTCGATTCAGGGAAGAATAGTGAGATTTTCCATTGGCATTTCACTACGCAGTGCCAGAAATTAGATTATTTGCAAATGAAAACATATTTTTTAATCTATATTTTCAAGTGAAAATTGACATCGCTACTGCACCACATTAGGTCTTCCAGAGCGCGGGATCAGACTCACGTATAATTGTAATCGTAATGTTGGATATGTATGTTTTTGTGATCAACCGTATATTTAAATTTATTATATGCTCACGCATTTTAGCTACAAACCAGGTTGAACAGCGGTCGCAACTTCAGAATCTTATAAGCTATTATGACTATTTGACATAACTACGCCGGCTTTATAGATTGCAATTTTTATTATCACTGTGGTACTGATAAATTTGCTATAATGTTCAATATCAATTCCGAAAGGATTGAAAGGTCCCGTTACCCACCTGGCGCCCGTTGGTTTGTACATAACTTCATACTTCCTGGGCGAATTGCTCAGAGATGCCCACGACACACGGACAGATGTCGGGTTCAGAAATGTCACTGTGATATTCTGCGGCCCGTCGAAATTTGTGGGCATCGAATCTGGAACAAAGTTTTTATATATTAGCATATGTATTGTGCAAATCGAGGTAAAAGTTTGAATGCCATTCTGACTAAATCATATTATCAATTTTCTCGAATATAGAGTCAGATCTGAGAATATTCTTCGCATATCTTGATGAGACATTACTAGGATTTGTCGGTTTTTAAAAACCGGTTTTTGGCAAAAATTATGGAATTCGAAAACCGGTTTTTTAGTGAAAAAAGTCGGTTTTCACTGTATAAATGGAAAATGACAGTTTTGATTCTTGAAATCATATCGTTTCAAAAGCATTTGATATCTTATCAGTCTGCAATGGTTCCCAGTAAGGTTTTGTACATATTAATTAAGATTTTTATACCAGTGTATATATTAATTTAAATCAGTGTGACTTCTTCTTGAAGAAGTAACTTCCTCTATTCAAACTTAAACAAAAGAGTTTTAAACCCTAGAAGCCACAAATTAAAGAACAGAAAACTTAGAATTATTATACCAGACTTTAAAAACAATTAAGCATAATTTGGTCGCAAGTAGTAAACAAAAGACACGTCGATAGACGTTCTCAATTTGTTTGAATCATATTTTATTAAACAAAAAATAATTAGAATGTTTAAAATTAATTAATTAAAATTGCTCGAAACAGAAATAAAAGTTTAGCTTAATTGTTTTTAAAGCTAAAATTGATATTAACAAGTATGTATCAACATGTATCTAATTTTTTTTTTTATTTAATGAATTTTTTTTATTTAAAAATGTATTATTTTTATTTATTCGAAAACTTTCCTTTAATATTTTCATTCTTATATGTGAAAATGATGCATGAATAACGAATAATTATTTTCAAATTTATTTAATCAAGATAAACTATTATTTTTTAGTTCTACTAATTAAAATTAAAATGATTTTGTTCACTATCTATAAAATTGAACAATAAATAAATTCAGTCAAATACTATTCTAAATTACACTAAATTTGGGGATAAATTACAGAATATTCGAGCAAAAATTTATTTTCTATATGAAATTCGAAAACCGGTTAAAACCGCTTTTTTAGTAAAATTAAAATTGGAAAACCGGTTTTCTGAAATGTCGGTTTTTGTATAAATCCTAGACATTACTTATACATAATTTTAGGTGGAATAGACTTTAGGCAAGTATATTTGCTAAACTTATTATGTAATGCTAAAATATAAAAGGAGTAAAATGATTATATATATTACAGACTTGCTATGTAACAAAATTATTCTTCAAGGTGCATTAAAGTAGCCTGATATGCAATATATTGTTATCAAAACTTATTAGCGACATTAACCTGCTTATTTAGATGTTCGATATCCATAAAATGTCAATCTTGATTATACATTGTTCAGTGATAATGATTAACCAGATTTATGGCAAACTGCACAGTACATATATTCGATGTTGAAATTAGATCATAAACTATGACACGTAGAATTAACATTACACTGATCATCTAAAATTAAATCTGAATCAGATATGAGAATTAGTAAAAATAATCGTATATTATGATTCTGATTTATTGATAACTCCTTTCTATATCTTGCGCAAAAATATATTCGAAATTTAATAAGAATAAACATAAAAAGTTTGAAATTTTATTAATACTTTGTTTTCAGTATATTGACATATATAACAAAAAATTAAGAACACTTGTTAGGATATAATACAGACCGTCGCTGCAACAAAAGTAACATATGAATGCTTTTTCCCTGAATATTCGCAGAAACCGTTTTCAATCTCATTTAAACCAGAACTTACTGAATCAACTCGCGATTTATAGTTCAAATCCAATAATTGAATATCTAATCATTTTAATAAGTAAGCAATGAGACGGTATTGAATTATATATAATACACATTTTCCTACACATGTACAGGAACTAGTTTACTAAACTTTGCTTACTTGATTATTCCAACGGAATGGTATGGTGGTTGTGGTTATAATTGTGAGATAGAATCTAGGTATAATTGAAGTCTTGTATATTATTGTACATAAGCAAAATCGGAGTGTGAGTACAAGAGCGAATAATAAACGACCATTTGCATATTAATATCAAGTTTGCGCCAACCGCCTTACAAACTTATTTGAAATAATACACAACTCGCACACACAAATGTAATATTCATTTCTATATATTGAAATATATATAATTTTCCGTAGATTTGTAAAATACCCTAAATATATCTCATATGAAAAATAGATCTAATTGATTATTGAATCTATTTTTTGTAAAACGGATTTTACAGAAACGTCATGAAAGCTATAACTAATTTTACCTATGAATGTATTTTTAACGATTGCTAGTCTGCCGAGTTTTATTACTAAATTTATGTTGAAAAATGCGAATTTTATTATTTTAAATATGTAAAAAGCTCGAGTTCAAAATGCAATATCACTTTTATTGCAAAGCACGAGATCGAGTTTATAGAAGACGGTCAGTTGGTTTTATAGATTTTCCAAACGGTTATGGTCCTAGAGAAAGGCGGTCCAGGAAAAATCAGTAAAATAAAATGTCGTGAAGCAATATAAGGTCAACTAGCATTTAACTTTTCCCGTAAAAAGAAAATCGCATAATGTCGGAAGAAAACAGTTATTGGAAACATTTCAACGATAAAATTCGGGTCATTTTACAGATACATAAATTCTATAGTTTTTTTACTTCTCATATTTGTTTTTTATAATTATTACCTTTACAGTATTCTCTTTAATCTTTAATATGATGTTTTATTTGATTGTGATCATATATAAAATAGTAACTTATTTTGGTCAAATGGTTTATGGTCAAATTTGTATTTTTTTTTCATATCATTACTGGAAATGCAAGTCTTTTGGAATTTGGTTCGGATGATATTCAAGTCTAGTTTTGTATTTAGATGCATGAATTCTGATTCTTTTATTACCTCATTGGAGTCCTGGTGGATTAGCCTATTTGGGACATAGTTGGGCACCTCTAGTATTTTTAAAAAAAATATTTTGTGATCTTTGCAAAATGTTTATATTGGTTTGACTAGCTAATCTCTATTTTATCCAATTTAAATAAAACGCAATTATCGTCTCCAAAATAGTGCTACGAATTGACTTAAATATTTATTCTAAATCTTAGTATATGTATAATAAGTTGAAGTAACATTGCTTCTTTCATAAAAATTTCAAGATACACAAAAGCGTACCTACTAATATTTATGCTAGAAATTTTGATATGTAGGATCTTAAGTTGGGTTTAAAATTCAAACATTAGTATTAATTAAGAAAGTAAATTATGACTAAAGATTGAGCAATAAAATCAATTGATTCGCAGTTCTAATTCTCAATAACATTTAACTTAAAATATTTGAAGCAATGTGTAATTTCATTTGAGTGAGATTGATTCTGTTCTCATTCGTCGTATTTTTAAATTATTACTAATATTCTAAATGTCAATTACACAACCTGATATTTATTTTTGGACTTAATTTAAGTCAGTAAATGGCTTAACAAATAGAAAAGAGCAAGGCGACGCAGCCGCGCGTATCTTTTCCAGAAATGATATAAAACCGCTTGGGAAATCAATCCCTTAATAGGATCGCCATGCATTCGCACGACCTATACTCGTAAAGTTTTTAATTTGAAAAAATACATATCGTCCTCTTTCTATTATTCCATCGGTTTCCGAGCAAATTCTTTCACACTCAATAAAACTTGGTTTTCCGTTTGTATTTTGGTTTTATAAGTTTGTTCATAAGGATACTATGAAACATACTACCAAGATCGTTACTTTAAGCAAGAATAGTAGTAGGTATATATTAGCGGAAATAGGAATCTTTCATCTCAGATGTATAACCAGGTAATATATACTATTTTTTGCATTATGAATATCATTTCCGTAATATCCCAAAAGATATTTTGAGGTAACTTTACGACTTATCATACGTGCGTTTGAACAATTATATTTCCTCGTCAACCTTTATGCTATGTCATAACAACATTGCGTGTGCATATAATTTCAGTATAGATGAATACGTACGTGTAATAATATACCAATATATTTAAAATACTATGAAAATATGTCTATAAAAATAAAATCCAGAAAGTAATTCGCGATAACGTATGAGGTATAAACCTTCTCTATATATTCAGAATGTTGGCTGTAAGTGCGCCATAAGAAAATAAATATCATCGCATATAAAAGGGTATGAAGTAATAAACTTATACGACGAACCATAATCACGAAATCGTGATAGAGAATTTTGTTTCTTATCTTTTTTCTGAGCAGAGTTAAATATGATAATAAGAAAATTAAATACATTACATTCATATATTAACTAGAACACCTAAAGGGATATATATTTCATTGTAGAATGCGTTTTTAATTTTAATTATACACAATGGTTATTCATCTTTATATTCTAGTTGAGTATTTTTATACATTGCATTAATAAAAATATCTGGTCAAGAATTGTCTTGAGATTTAAAAATGTTGTAAAACATTTTAGAATAAAATAATAAAATAAGAATAGTTAGTGATTTCCCAGGAGTAAAGCGTAGGAACAACAAAATAACCAGCAAATAATATTGAATGTTGTTTCATTGAATATAATTTTTAAATTATTTCATCATACTTTTGTGTATAGTTAATATTTTATTGTTTAGTTAACTATATCAAGTTTCAGTTTCAATAAATGTTTGTATTGATAATTTAATTTAAATGCTATGGAAAACACTGTATATATATATATATATATATATATATATTATTCATTTACCTAGATACCTTCATACATTCACAAAGGAACATTCATTTTACAGTCGGGTAAAAGAAAATGAGTACAATTCGCACTTTGCTAATTTAATAATTCATTGAGTTAACGAAGTTTGATCAGATGCTAAAATCCTTTTATACTTCACATGGAAAATCAAAAATCTTTTTTACTTGCACATTCAGAAAAATGTTATTGTACCTTGGAGTTTCTGCTTTGTAAATTTCGGGTATTAACTTCA